TCACTGCCAGCTGTAACATTATTTTATAGTTTCTTTTTATTAAGTAAATACTGGTTTGAGACAAAAATTACAAATGATGTTTTTGATATCTATGGCTTATTTTACCTGACCATTTATGTTAGTCTGCAAATCATATTTTCAAAAACATCCTATTTCTCTAATATACAAACTCAAAGAATTTGCCAAAGTACCTCATTTGGGAAATATATTGAACTTTTTAAAAATTATTTAAATAAGGTTCCAGAAAGGTGGTCCCTAATGTTATATTTCATCTTTTGTCTTTTATAAATTTTCTTTGAAGAGACTGTCATATTTCTAATTTTAATTATATTACAACAAATGATGTGGAGCTGTTATTGACCCCTTGGTCAAACTGAAAATCAGGGACCAACCAATTTTGAGTAGTTTCCCTAAAATCACAGTCAGTAACAGAAGTGAGACTCAATTCCACATCTAAATTCCAGATTCTAGAGTTTTCTATGGAACTACTTCAGCTCCCACTCCTTGCTTCCTCTTTCGGAGTCACATAATCCTATATTCATTCATTCATTCATTCTTTCATCTAGTCAATCATTCATTCTTTCACTCATTCACTTATTGAACAATTATTTGTCGAATGTCTGCATTATGGACTGAAGGTTTATGTTCTCCCCAAATCCATATGTTGAAGCCCTAACCCCCAATGTGATTCTATTTGGGGACAAAACCATTAGGAGGTGTAGTGGATTGAATTATGTCCCCTAAAACTCACTGAAGCTTGAATTGTGTCCCCCAAGTTTTATGTGTTAGAAACTTGGCCCCCACTGTGACTGTTAAGAGGGTGGGAAATCCTGTTATGATAATTGAAAGGTAGAGCTTTGAAGAGGTGATTAGATTGTAGGACCATGCAGTAGTGAATGGATTAAAACTGGTGGTCAGGGGCGTGGTTCTGAGGGCTTTAAAAGGAAAGAGAGGACAGCCTGCTTCTCTCTCTCTGCTCTTTCTGCTCCACCATATTGCAATGTGAGACCCCTACGTCACTGTCGTCACCACCAGATGGACTTTGGAGTTTCCAGGCTCAGAAACTATAAGCAATAAACTTTATTTTTTTTATAAAATACACACTTCCATGTATTTTGTTATAAGCAACAGAAACACACTAATACAGGAGGTAATTAAGGTTAAATGAGATCACAAGGGTGGAGCCCCAGTTGAATAGGATTAGTGTCCTTATAAAAAGAAACACCAGAAACACCAGAGAGCATGCACATGGGCTCTCTCTCTCTCTCTTCATGTGCTCACTAAGAAAAGGCCATATGAGGACACAGTGAGAAGGTGACTGTCTGCAAGTCAAGAAGAGAGCTCTCACCGGAAACCAAATCAGCCAGAACTTTGATCTTGAACCTCTAGCCTCCAGAATTGTTAGGAAATAAATTTTGTTGTTTAAGCCACCCAGTATATGGTATTTTGTTATGGCAGCCCAAGCTGACTGATACAATCTGCTTATTTGGGGTAATGTGCTATACACTGGATAGCACCACAGGCATCAAAAATTTATGAAATCCGGGCCGGCCCGGTGGCGCACTGCGCTAGTGCGCCGCTTGGGAAGCACGGCGGCGCTCCCGCCGAGGGTTCGGATCCCACATACAGACCGGTTCCCGCTCACTGGCTCAGCGAGGCGCAGGGGCAACACCGAAGGCTGCGATTCCCGTGCAGGTTCCGGCT